AAAAAAAAAAAAAAATTAAGAAAAGGACTGACAGTGGTGGGGAACTATGGGGGGGTGCAGGGGGGGGAAGGGAGGTGGGACTAACGGTAGTCAATATCTGGGGATGGGGAGACACCCCTTATTAACAAGGGTGCCTGAATGATGCACATTTGCATACCTAACCCTTAACTGTACCCCACAATTTTATAATAAAAAATATGTTTTAAAAAATAATAAATAAAAATAAAAAACATTTAAGTCTTTAATCCATCTGAAATTTGTTTATTGTTGCTAAATGATTAGCTTGTTGTCCTATTAATATTCATTGACTGGATAGTTGTGTTGGCTCACTCCTTTAATGCTAACAAGAGGATTGCCTGAGCCCAGGGGTTCAAGATCAGCCGGGCAACTTGGCAAGATCTTGTCTCTACAATAAATCAAAAAATTAGCCAGGTTTGGTGGTTCATACCTGTAGTTCCAGCTACTTGGAAAGCTGAGGCAGAAGGATCACGTGAGCCCAGCAGGTCAAAGCTACCGTAGCCGTGATAGTGCCACTACACTCTAGCCTGGGTGACAGAGTGAGGCTCTGACTTAAAAAAAAAAATCATTGACTGTTTTTCCCTGTAATTTGAAATCATATACTAAATTCTATTTCTGAACTTTCTCTTTTGTTCTACTGATCAATTTCTGTGCCAATACCACCCATTGTCACTTTAATATAGATCTTTATACCAAGTAAGAGTAAGTTACCACTGTTTTTCTGTTAATTCTCAGAATCTGCTCAGTTTCTATTACATATTTATTCATGTATACATATTTATTAAACATCAACTAAAGAACTATTTGGTCAAATTCCTCCCCCAAATCTTAGTATTAGGGGTCAGGAGAATGTGTTATATAAAGAATGTTCCTATCCCAGATCATGGTATGTGTTTTCTGTCTACAGTATTCTAGTTTTCAACTTACAAGGCAATTCATACATTGTGTATGTGTGAGTATTGTATATTTTGTTATCCAGAACTCCTGAGTTACTCCCTCAGCTCCTGCTCCTGAAAGTGCCTTCCACAGCCTCTTAGGGCGGGTCTTATTGGAGATCTTCTGCTCTGGCAGTCTGCTTTCTTTGCGGGAGGGAGTCATATCAAGATGGCTCCCCCAGCACAATTACTTTCTAGAGTAATTTTTTAAACTTAACCCACGGAAACTCAGAGATCCTCGGCTTGCCAAATGGAGGATTGCCCTTCCATCACAGGTAGATCCAGCCACAGGTTTTAGTTTGGGTGTATATCAGACCCTTTGTCCTCCAACTGGTGGAAATGTAGCTTGCTGCTTTTTGTTTTTCCCATCACTAGGCTGACAGCCTCAGCCTCTTGACCCTTGGGTTTCTTATCCTTGGAATCAGATACCAGACCTCTGAAGCTTTAGGGGA